TTTATATTTTTTTAAGACAAGCACAACTATCGAGAAATATGCCTATCATATTTTATGAGAGACTGAGTTTGAAATAAACATATTAATTTTAATAAACTCTAACTAGAGGTAATTAGTACATGACTGCTTCTCATGGGAATGGTTCATTGTATTCCCTGTTGCCCTGTCAATCAACGATATATTGATAAAATAATATGGACTCTGATAAGATTAGAAATACATGAAACAAGTTGATTACTATTATTATTATTTGTTGGGTTAAACAAGTTGAATTTACAAATTAATTTATGGGAGAATGACATTTATGAGTTTTGTATTGGATAATGACTTATAAAATATGTACATGTTATTATTGAAAGTTGAATATTCACTTGTTAAATTTTTAAGAAGATATTAACAAAAAATAAAGTTAAGTTTCAGCTTTTAATGATAATAACTGTGTGTTTTTACAAGATATAAAACTTATAGGTCTTTGTTGCAATAAATTTAATTGAGAGGATGTTAATTGTCATTTTCTCTTAATTTATTTCAAATCAAAGGGAAATAAGTTGAAGGTTCATGGCAGCCATGACTGACTGACGGAGGTCACATTTATGGATGATGATGAATGATAGCCTTCCAAATTGACTGTTGGACATTACATTTAATATCAAAAGAACTATTTTCCTTGAATTTATGAAATATGAGGCAAATGATGATGCCCAATGTCTTATTTCTTCAACCTAATATACAATGAGTTTTTTTGCCCAAAAAAAAAATATACGATGAGTTTTGCAATGCAATCATTATTTTTGAATTTTAAATCCTTAGGTATAATTTCCTTGAAAAAAAAAAGGATGCGTTTCAAACAAGGCATTATTTTCATTAGTGGGGACTCTTGCTAGCATTGATGGATTACATCTTACCTAATTAATATGATTATGATTTAAGGATAAATGGAGTCCATATTCAATGCATATCACTTATAGGCTCATCTTGGATTTTCATTTGACTTTGAAATGATTTTTCCCATTTATTTAAATTAATTTTTAGATATTTTTAATATTACTTTTATTATTTTATTTTAATAAATACAATGATAAAAATTCCAAAAAAATAATTTAAATAAATAGAAGAGATTATTTCAAAGTGAAATGAAAGGCTAAGGGGAATGATGATCACTCAGTGCTCATCAAAAGTACCAAATGCATATCATAGATAAATGAACCCATGAGTTTGGAGCCACCATGGCTCTCTACGAAACATAATGCCAACGACAACTACAGAATATGTGGAAATGTAAGGGGCTAAATTAAAAAAAAATTAAATTGATTTGAGGATTATAATTTTTTTATTTAGGCACATATACATGTTAATTTAAATTATTAAAATATTTTATACATTAGATTAATTTGAGAGTATACTTATATTTTGAAATTTAAAGGACTACAAAAAGGAATTGACAGTGTCTATATTAATTTGTTATAAAAATTAGACAGTATATAATACATACTGAAAAGAGTTCTATTAAACATATGTTAATGTTCAGAGTTATTAGCGCAGAGGTTGCTAAACCTAAGCAAAATTTGCTAGTTTTAAAAAACCAGTCAACCATCGATGACTCTGATTTTTTATGTGCTAATACACCTAAGCAAAATTTGTTCTGATGTATCACAAAATCTTATAATTTCCTTGAATACATGACTTGTGAACTACGTAATGCACAATGTCTCTTTTTTAATCTGATATTAAAAAAAAAAACAAAAAGCTTAACAGGGCAAGAATTAGTATGTGTTTAATTCCTTGTGTGTAATTTCCTTGACAAAATAAAAAAAAAAAAAACAGGGATGTATTTCAACATGGCATTATCTTCAATTGTGTGTGGGGACTCTTGTTAGCATTAATAATGACTTGATTAAGAATCAAGGGGCCTACCAGCCAGGATACACATACTATTCCAATTTCCAACCCTCTCCTTTTCTTCACTTTTTTACACACGTTATCTCCATTATTCATCTCTCATCTCATTTATGATCTATTGAAGAATGAAGATAAGTTTATCTTTCCAAATCTCCTTTTTTTTTCTTTTAAATTTTAATTCATCTTTTTTCTACTTTTAATATTTTTTACACCATCAAATAAAAGGATCTTAAACACATAAATTTTTTTATTCTTTACATATATCCTTCAATTAAAAGTAATTATATTTAAAGTACTGAATTAAATATGTCCTTATGTTGTAAGGGACTAGCCCTTTCTATTAGCCCCAACTCCTATTGGTTAAATATATAAATTTTAAATATGAGATTTTCACTTTAAAAGAGAAGATTAATTCACTAATTTTTTTTAATTTTTCTTAATTTTAAATTAAGTCCTTGTAATTTATTTCTTTTAATTAAGGAGTTATAATTTAATCCATTATATATGTAATAAGTGTTGTTTGAGCCCCTAGACATATCCTAACTACCCCCACCACTAAAACCCAACGCATTCAAATTTTTTCTTTTGAAAAAGAAAAGAATTCATCACTATTAATTAATTTCCTAAAAAATAACAAAAATGAAAGGGAAAATAACAATAAAAGAGCTTATAAAATCATTAATGACAATTACAGATATTAAAATATTAATATTCTAATAATAAATCATGATCCATACTTGTAATAAATTATTTTTTTTAATTGGCTTGAAATTCACAACATACTTTAACAAATTTTCTACTAAAGTTACAAAGATTTTTAACTATCTTTTATTGATTTTTTAAGAAATAGCAAAAAATCACAAGTTATTGACTTGCAATTGACAATTGACTTTCGTAAATTTCTAACTAACATTACAAATAATTTCAAGCGTATTTAGTAAATTTTTCAAGTAATTTATTTATATATTAAAAGAAAAAAATTATAAGTAATTGGCTTACAATTTACTACTAACTTTTGTAAATTTCAAATTAATGTTATAAATAATCTCAAATATATTTATTTAATTTTTCAAGTGGTTTATCTGTATATTCATAATAAAAAAATAAAATTTCTAGCTATCTTTCAAAAATTTTCAATTGACATTATAAATAATTTTAAATGTAGTTAGTAAATTTTTCAACTAAATATTCACATTTTTGTAATTACGTGTAAGGATCATGGTCTTTTTATTGAAATTTTAATAATTTAATACGTATAATTATCATTAATATTCTTACTCATTTTTCCAAAATGAAACTCTTGCTTTTTAGTCAATGGCAGCAAGTCTTCCAAGTGTGTGTGAAAATTCCCCCTTGGGGGGGCTGCCTCCAATCGTTTTTTTTTTTTTAACCAGAAATAAAATTGACAAAATAATCAAAAGAAAGTAAAGTTGTCTTGATTCCAAATCATTGAAAGCACACTACGCATGTAACAACAAAGCATTCGCGGATATTGAGAAGTGATTATTACTGTAGGAAATCAGCAAGAGGGTAATGATGTCTTTCTTCCCGCAATCTTTTTTTCAATTATATCTCCAGGTGCAATGATATTTCATAATTATGGGATACTTTTTTGCTATTAAAAGCTACAGGGTTCCTAGGTAATATTTTTCATAATTTAGATTGCTTCAAAAAATTGCTTCAGTTTTCAATGATCGATAACCAATTATTTATTCTAAAGAGTCTATATTAGAAGCTTAATTAACTTCAATTACACTGTACAACTATCCAAAAGGAGTTCTGTATTAAGAATGAATTTATATTTTCTTAAGGCAAACACAATTATATGCAAAAATGTGCTTACCATATTACAGGAGAGAATGAGTTTGAAATAAACTTAATAATTTTAATAAACTTTAACTAGGTATAAGTACATGATTGCTTCTCCTGGGAATGGTTCATTGTGTTCCCTATCAATCAATAATATATTCATAAAATGATATGGACTCCAATAAGATTAGAAGCACTTAAAACAAGTTGATTTTTTTTTTTTTGTTAAACAAGTTGAGTTTAAAAATTAATTTATGGGAGAATGATATCTATAAATTTTGCATTGGATATTAACATGTGAAAATATGTATATGTTATTGTTAAAAACTAATTTTTTTTAGGAGTTAAAACAAGTTGATTAGAAACACTTAAGTTGATAAGATTAGAAACACTTAAAACAAGTTGATTTTTTTTTTTGGGGTTAAACGAGTTTAAAAATTAATTTATGGGAGAATGACATCTATAAGTTTTGCATTGGATATTGACATGTGAAAATATGTATATGTTGTTGTTAAAAACTGAATATTTGATTGTTAAATTTCTGAAGAAATCCTGACAAAAAATACAGGTTAAGGTTATGTCTTTAATAATAATATATAAGGGTTTTTTTTTAGGAGTAGATACTAAAAAAAAATAAAGTATCTTTAGCAATACTTAATGTGCTTTTTTTAAAAGTACCCATAACAAATAAGTCATTTTATATTTATTTTAAAATAAAATACCCTATTAAATAATGGTAAGTATGAAAAGATGATATTAATTTAAAGATAAGTAATTATTTTATTAGAAATAAGATTCTATTAAAAATGCCTCATATTTTTTGATGAAGTGAATATATAATTAACAATGTGGGCAATTAATTATAAAAACAAAAAATAATGCAGGTTATTAGTTATAAAAATAAGAAAAAAAATATTCTACAAGAGGTCTGCCTAAAGGCAAATACATGAAAAGTTTGTTTTAAATCACTGTTTTAAAAATCATGACGGTAGTTTTAAAAAAAAAAAAAATCATCGCGGTTTTCTTAACTTATCAATGAATATGCAACTAATGTCCAACGATGCTAACGTCATTTATCAATTCAAAAAGGCAAAATTTTTTTGAAAGAAAGAGCCAAACGGTCAGTGTCCATACTCCGACTACTTGCAAAGCAAGTAAAAGCAATTAGAGGAATCTACATTATTGTCCTTCGCTGCAGGCATTGACCGACAAGAAAATCTACCAAACCAATTAAATTGAAGCTTCCAACTTTATTATCCATTCACGCGGCTTTGAGATTATTTCCATGGGGAAAAAGAAAAGAAGCTCTATTATTATTCAACACTACGTTCTTCTGCACTCTCATTCCCAAAAAGCTTTCTTGATTTCTTCGGCTGATCTCCTCTGATAAGCATACCAGAAACAATGGCTGCTGAGGTTGTGGGTGGAGCTTTTCTCTCTGCTTTTCTTCAAGTCATTTTTGATAGACTGGGTCCTACTTCTACCATATACAACTACTTCCGATCAAGAAAGCTCGAGGATCGATTGCTGGAAAACCTCCATATCACCCTCATCTCTGTGAATAAAGTGCTTGATGATGCAGAAGCAAGGCAGTACACAAATTCCCATGTCAAGGAGTGGCTTCAGAAGCTCAAACATGCTGTTTATGTGGCTGATGACCTCTTAGATAAGATTGCTACGAAGGCAACCAGGTTGAAGATCGAAGCTGAGACTCAACCTGCTACCAGTAAGGTACGGTGCTTCTTTAATTGTTTTGTTAATCCATTTGACAAACGCATGGAAGCTAGAATCCAGGAAGCGCTTGACGTCCTGGAGTTCCTTGTAAAACAAAAGGATGCTCTGGGATTGAAGGAAGGCTCTGGTGGTGGTAGCGAAGTTGGAGTTGGTGGGAAAGTATCCTCTAGATTGCCAACGACATCTCTGCTTCCTGATGAGTCCGGCATTTATGGCAGAGATGGTGATAAAGAAAAAATAATTCGTCTTTTACTTGATGAAAATCTGAGCAGGGACCCAGTATCTGTGATTTCTGTAGTGGGTATGGGTGGCTTGGGGAAAACCACTCTTGCTCAACTGGTGTACAATGATCGGAGGATGAAGGATCAATTTCAGCTCAAAGCTTGGGTGTGTGTTTCCGAAGAATTTGATGTTTTCGGAATTACAAAAACAATACTTTCTGCACTTCACTGTCCAATAACAGGACATGAAGATCTAAATCAGCTTCAATTGAAATTGCAAGAGAAATTGACGGGGAAGAAATTGTTGCTGGTTCTCGATGATGTCTGGAATGACCAGAAATCCGATTTGGAATCATTACAAGTTCCTTTTCGTTCTGGGGCTTCTGGAAGTAAGATCCTTGTTACAACACGTGATAAAAAGGTAGCATCAGCCATGGTCTCTGTTGAAGTGCATCGCATAGCTTTACTAAATGAAGAAGATGGTTGGAAGTTATTTGAGGAACATGCGTTCAAAAACAACGATGCTAGCTCTTGTTCAAGCCTACAGGCAATTGGCAAAAAAATTGTTGAAAAGTGCGACGGGTTGCCTCTAGCCATAAAATCATTGGGTGGCCTCTTGCAAACAAAATTTTCAGAGAAATATTGGAATGAAATTCTTGAGAGTGAGATATGGAAGTTACCAAAGAGTAATATAATGCCAGCTCTACGGCTAAGCTATCATTATCTTCCTTCTCATTTGAAGAGGTGTTTTGCGTTCTGTTCTATATTTCCTAAAGACTTTGAAATTGACAAGGTGTCTCTAATCCAAATGTGGATGGCAGAGGATTTGATACATTGCAACCAAGGAAATAAAAGTGTGGGGGAATTGGGGAATGGAATTTTGGATGAACTAGAATCAAGGTCATTTGTTGAGAAATCAGAAGAAATAATGACAAATTAATCATGCATGACCTTGTAAATGATTTAGCAAATTCAGTCTCCGAAGGATTTTGTTTGAGGATGGAAGGTGATAAGGTGCAAAATAATATTAATGAATGGATACGCTATTGTTCCTGCTCAGGTGGGTTCCTGCGGGGTGATGAAATATCATTGGAACCTATTTATGTGTGCAAGCAGTTACGTTGTTTTGCTCAACTACAAGGATATGGTCGTATTGGTGGTCAGGTTGAAACGTTTTCAAGATTTAAGCACCTGCGAATTTTGACCTTGAAGGAAGTTTATACTAACACTGAATTAAGTGATGGTGTAAGGAATTTAAATTGCCTTCGTTATTTAGACCTCTCTGGTACTGAGTTTGGAAAGTTACCGGATTCAATCTGCACTATGTATAATTTGCAAACTTTGAAATTGAACGGGTGCCATAAGCTTGTTCAGTTACCTAAAGATTTGTACAAATTAATCAATTTGCATTATTTAGACCTTTCTTGTACTGGGATCAGCAAGTTACCTGATTCAATTTGTAAGGTGCGCAGTTTGCAAACGTTGAAATTGCGAGGGTGTGGGTCTTTGGCTGAATTGCCACCAGATTTGTCCAATCTCATCAATCTTCGACATCTTGATTTGGTTGGGACTTGTATAAGGGAGATGCCAATGAACATGGGAAGGATGAAATATCTTCAGGTATTGACAAGGTTCTGTGTGGGAAAGCAAAGGGGATCTAATATTAAGGAGTTAGGAAAACTCAATTATCTTCGAGGCAGGCTTGAGATTTTTCAGTTGTATAACATCAATGATCCAATGGACGCGGGGGAGGCCAAGATGAAAGAGAAGAATTACTTGAATGAATTGACTTTGGGATGGAGTGGAAACAATGAGGATTTACAAAATGAAAGGTCCGTTTTGGAGGCTCTTCAACCTCATATCAGCTTGAAAGGTCTTGGTATTAGAAACTATGGTGGCACAAGGTTTGTGGACTGGATGGATGCTCCTTATCTACCTAATTTAGTATCTCTTTGGTTGTACAATTGTAAATATTGCTTTTGTTTACCACCACTTGGGCAGCTGCCCTGTCTAAATAGGCTTTCGATTTGGGGATTAAAAGGAATAAGGGAGATTGGGTCAGATTTTTACGGGGAGAATTTGTCAATTGCTCCGTTTCCATCCCTTGAATATTTGGAAATTGAAGATATGGGGGAATTGGAAGAATGGAAGCATTTTGAAGGGGAATGTTTTCCTCGCCTTAAACACATGTTTATAAGAAGCTGTCCGAAATTAAGGAAATCCCTTCCTTTATGCCTTCCATGTTTGGAATGTCTAGAGATTAGAGGATGTGAAGGCTTGGAACTTGAATCATTCCCTATGAAAGATTCCTCCTATCCGAAACTTGAAGTGATCATCCTTGCTGGCATGACCCAACTGAAGTCACTTCATGAAGACATGCATGCACTATTCCCCTGCCTTCGTTCTTTAGAGCTGAAGAGATGTCCACAGCTGCAATTGGTTCCTCAAAGAGGTTTTCCTTCAAGCCTTATCGGAATTGCAATATATGATTGTCCGAAACTCATTGATTCTCGTATGTGCTGGGGCTTGCACAGGCTTCATTCTCTAAAAGAGTTAGAAGTGGGTAATCATGATTTTGAAAATGCCGAGTCTTTCTTAGAAGAGCAACATTTGCCGCCCAATCTTACATCTCTTATTCTTTATGGATGTTCAAATTTGACAAAAATAAACAACAATGGCCTTCTCTCCCTCACATCTTTTAAATGGCTAAAGATTAGGGATTGCCCAAATCTCGAGTGCTTGCCAGAGGAAGGTTTACCCAACTCCCTTTCTTCAATATGGATTAGTGGAAATAGTCCATTACTAAAGCAGCGGTACCAAAAAGTGGATGGACCAGGCTGGCATAAAATTTCTCACATTACAGACGTGCGTATAGATTAGATGGAACTGCATTCCCTTACAGGTATTTTATTTTATTTTAACCTTCCATTAATAAGTTGATTTCATTGTTTTGACATTTTCACTTTCTTTTTACAAAAATACTCAAAATCCGTGAAATTATCATTGTAAAATATTTTTTACATAGGAATCTTAGACTCAAGAAGCACCCACACCCAGTCGCCTAGTTTTAATCCTAGGATTAAAAATTATAGCGTTTATTTTTTTTTTGGGACTTTAAATTACTTGTTTGGTTCCATCTATTTACTTTTTGTTTTTTTTTTTGTTCTTTATTAAGTTGAAACTTATTTTTTGAAAAATGTATTAAAAGAATTCTTTGAAAAAAATATATAATTATTATCATTGAAAATATATTCTTTGTAAAATTAATATTAGAATCAAAAGTAATTTTTAAAAATTGCATATGATCAATAATTATCAATTATAGTTGCCCAAAAAAAAACTATCAATTATTTTTACATTATATCAATTTAAAAATAAATTTTAAATTTTGAAAGGGATTTAAAAAATTGTAAATGTCTAAAAAGTTCGTAAAAATATTATAGTTCATGATAATTGTCAATAAAAAATAATATCATAAAATAAATATAATTTTAAAAAAAAATAAAAAATGGCATTTGTTCAGGTTGGAGTACGCTTGAATGGCTCGGACAGGGCAGGGTTGATCAGGCTTTCGGACAATGTGCACAAACCTACCCATAAATAAGAAGCTTTGTACAATCGAATCCCTTCCCAATAAAATATTGTTTCTACCATGATTTTTTAAATAATACTTAAATTTAAATTTTTAATATTTTTCCTTTCTTTCATCTCTTGCTGGCAGTTCCTTCGTTCATTCACCCGGGAGTCATGATGCATATATTGAGTTTCGTTACTAATATTCTTTCTTCATTAAAGGTTAGAACTTTAATATTATAGCGTTTCTTGTATTTTTTTTTTTCACTTTCTCTATCTTTAATAAAATTGAAAATGACGTGCAATTGTTAAAAGTATTTGTGAGCTGCAAAGTTACTGCAGAAAAAACGTGAACGGGTACGAATCATTAATAAATGATGACATGTTATTGTTGCTACTTGTTCAACCAAATTTTGAAATTAGATGATTTTAAATTGCATGTGTTCAGATTGTATTTTAACAATAATAATCATTTGTCAAAAAAAAAAAATCATATTTGAAACTTTTTTATTAATATCATCTAATGTCATGAAAGTGATTATTAATTTTAGGAAAAAAATTCTTCACTTTAAAATTTCTCTAGCTGTCTGTAAGATAGTTGAAGATTGATTGATTTATTTATTATGATTTTTTAAAGAAAAACTCATTAATTATGTATTGAAAACTAAAAATGCCTTATATTTTTGGATAAATTGGCTCACTAGCAAAAAAAAAAAAAAAAAATCTTATGTCCAAGACCTAAAATTTGAGAGTATGGCCAATTTACATTGATATACAAGCGCTTCATTATTAAAAATTTATCGGGGTTTATCATTAATATACAATGGTATATCATTGACAAATATAATAAACTGACCATAATGCAAAATATAATAAATGTTGGGCTATTTGCTTGGTTTGGTCATATAACATAGATTATATCTACAAAAATTCCTTTATTTTTTAACATCTAACCTAAGACTAAATGCCTTATATTTTTTTAACAAAGGGAGTAAATGATTAAAAGGGAGGGGCATTTCAGGAAAATCAACACGATTTTTACAACAACCAACTTAATTGATTTCCTTAATCTATGTGAATTAGTTATCTAGTTCTTTCATTGAGGATGGGAAGGAGTATCTTATTTTACAACAAGATTTAAGCTCAGTGTACATGTTTAGTTATGATGCTATCTCCATTTACTTAAAAGCTCATCGTTTACTTGTGTAGGAATGCTTAGCGATATACCAAGTCTTTGGACTATCCTGAGTTTCCCAGAATCATATGCCATCCCATGTATTGCCAATCCTTGTTGTGATCTTCATCTTCCTCGGCATCTCATGGTACTTCTCTTATAAGCAACATGGTTGGATTCTACTTGTGATTCCAGTAATGATATTGCTCTTACATTGTTGGTAGTTTCCAAGGATGTGTTTTAACCTTTTAGGGTCCACTTTTGTAGGCTCTTCTTGGAGATGAAAATCCTGATAATATGATCATCATGCAAAGTTTCATGAATCTATAACCCTTATACTTGTCTTAACAACAAGCTCAAGAATTTTATCAGGTAGCACCTTAACTTTTTCATTATTCATTCATTCATTGAGTGTTCATAATTCTACAACCACGATAAATGTCGTTAATTATGCCCTCACAGCTACATAGAAACTCATGCACATCATGTGACAAAATTTACTTTTGTTTTATCTAGCAGCTAATGCACATCAGCAATATTTTGAATTTCAAAACCGACATTTTTGCCAGTGTAGTTATGATTCTTTCTCATGCTTTTATTTTTCTCCATGTGCAGAAATGCTAAGCCAAATACCATGGATTTGGACTATCCTGAGTGTCAAGGTGTGAAAAGTAAATTTGTGAAGATCCCATCCTCACATGAAATTTTGTCCACAGAACCACATGGTCGAACCTTCCTCTATCCAACCTCATCTTCCCATGTGCTGGTAGTCCTAGTTGTGGTCTTCATCTACCTCGGCAGGCATTGTTCAATAAGACAGTTGTCAAAAGTGCAAATGAACAGTGGGGTTGGATTCTATTCACTACCCTAGTTGTGATATTGCTCTTAATTTTCTACTGAGAGGAAGAAAGGAGGACCCATCATTTTCCATTTATTGTAGTTGCTTATCGTGGTTCTGTAAGAATCACCTTCCTTGGAACTAAAGTTTTGCTCTGTTTGGTTTCTATTTCTAGAGGTTTGAATTCCTAGATAAAGTTACTTATTATTGTGATGAATTTGATAGCAAAATGTCAAAAATCTATAGTCTTTTTTACTTTCAATTGTCCAATAATAGGAAACTTCCAATCTAACCACATTAAAATGACAAAATATGTGATAGGAGACAGAGCTATATGAATTTGGTTTAAGCTATGGAATCTTGTTTATTTAGAAAGAAGTTTGCTAAATGAGGATTAGAACTTCTCTGACTACCCTGCTGCCAACAATTGTGAAGATATTGAAGTTCAGTTTTAGGCATGTTTGAGAATTGAATCATAATTGATCACCATAGAAAAGCTTTATATATGCCTTTATACTTCTTTATATACTCTTCTTTTATCTCATGGTTTGCTTCTTCAGCAGAAATTGATAAATCTTTTAAATTATTTATAACTGATGCTAAGCACCTGAAGCTTGCTTTGTATCTTCTATTCACTTTTGAATTTTTATTTGTAGTTGGATTTGCATCTGAAATAAGTTTGCCAAGCTTGTCTGTGAAAGTCGCAACAAGTGACAACTAACAAAAGCTAATGGCACGCTGAGTATTCAAATTTATGGATTAGTTGCAAACGATCAATGGTAGATATTGTCCTTTATTTTCCTTTGTTGCTTTGTTTCTTTAAGATTGAAATTTGTCCTGTAACATTTCAAAGAAAAGGACAACTAGTGTATAACTATGAAGTTATTCGTAATAGTATTTTATGAAACTAATTGATTCCATTGTTCATTATGACTCTTTCTTGCTAAGACTAAAGAGTTTTATTACTTATCCTTATTCCTCAAAAAATCTAGTGAAGCCACGATGGATTGCTGGGCTTTTGGGATTCATTCATTTTCATTATGTCTGCGTCTGTTGTTATAATCTCGGTCGAGTGGTGAAAATTGGATACTTCGGTGCCTGACATAATTTAATTTTCAATTCTAATAATGCTCAACACCATTCACGGGTTGATTCTTGAGGGTGGAAGGCTTTTATCTTAATGTCTTTTGGAGTATAAATGAGCTTGTTAACTTATCAGAATAAGTGAAGTTGTGGAATATTTCAACCGCCATTTCATATTTTTTTGAATTTGCAGGCAAGCTAGAGATGCTGTCAAAGCTATTAAAACAACCAAAAGAAGGAAAAAGGCTTTGTGGCAAATCCGAATAATTAACTTCATTGGGTCATGGTGAGTACGCAATTCTTCATCTAATTCTTATCAGTCTATTCCTCAAACAAGAATCTCCATTATGCAATTTTATAAGACTGAATTTACAATCCTTGTTGCGAACAAGATGAAAAAGAGGAAAAAAGAAGGTAGTGCAATTATGTTTCTTGATTCTCTTCTTTATGTACTTTTAACTCTTTGGGTTAGTTTTTAATGCCGGGTCCTATAAATAGAGGTGATGTACACTTATTTGAGATAATGAAATGAATGAGAACTTCTCCTTATCTTCTCTCCTAAATCTCTCCTTTTTTTGTCTCCCTCATCCCAATCTCTTGGTAGTTTTCTTTTCTTCATAATGCTCTTGTTGGAAGTTTGGATCTTTTACTTCCCTGTCATCTCTTGTTGGAAGTTTGTAGTTCTTTATTCGTCTATCCGGGAGTTATGATGCATATGGAGTTTTTGCACCGTTTTTCCTTCTCAATTAAAGGTTAGTACTTTAATATCATTGTGTTTTTTGGCTTTAACGTATTTTTTTTTTTTTGCAGTTTCTCTGTCTTGAAAAATTAAAAACAATGCCATGAAAACTTGTAGCTTGGTGGTTAGTGTGCTACACACTCAACCTACAGATTGCAAGCTCGAATGGCAGACCCAAAAAAAAATTAAAAACAATGTGCAAGTGTTAAAATATCTGTAAGCAATAAAATTCTTGCAAGGCAAAGTGAATTTGTGTAACTCATTAATAAATTATGCCATATTATAATCATTGCCCACAAAACTTAGAAATTAGACGATTTTAAATTGTATATGTTAAGATTATAGTTTGACAATAGTAATCATATTTGAAAAGAGTTTTCTTCGTATAAAATAATTTCATGTAAATAAATTTTCCTTCATAATTCCATGATTATCTTGGGAAAATTTATAAATGTATAAGCTTAGCTAGCTAGACTTGTACTAATCCTTAATATAATAAAAATATCTAAAATTTATTGTCAAGTCGCCCCTCCATCATGTTTCGTTACTTGGCAACCTAAACTCCTATCACATAGACAAATGTCATTCATAGGAACTTTAGTATTATCTAATTTTGCAGCAAAATTTAAGCTTGGTTTACAGGTTTAAGCATGATGCTATCTCTTTGACTTAACCTCAGTTTTGTTCATTGTGTAGGAATGCTATGCCAGAAGATACCAAGTCTTTAGGCTATCCTGATGAGATTCTTAGAATCATATGCCATCCCTTATACTGCCAATCCTAGTTGTGATTTTCATCTTCCTTGGCATCTCATGGTACTTCTATAAGCTGCATTGTTGGATTTTACTTGTGATGCCAGTTATGATACTACTCTTACTTCAATGGTAATTTCCAGGGATGCATTTAGCCTTTTCAAAACAACTTTTGTAGGCACTATTTGTTTCTTCAATGGAAGTTGACAACTTTCTTAGTGATCCATAACTGACATTTAACACTTGAAGCGTAATCTGTTCTGCATTAGCATTCCCTTCTACATCATCTATTTACTTCTAATCTTATTTATTTGTTAATTGATTTCAATCTGAAACATAAGCAAGAGTATTATTGCTGCAACTGTTTGAAATTGATTGGTTTCAAAACATTGAAATCTGTGAATGAGTTGCTCAATTCAAAGATATCTATAGTGCATTTATGTCCTTCTATGAGACTTTTTTCAGGATTGATTACTGTCCTAGAACATTGCCAATGGTATTGTATGATGGTATGAAACTAAACTGAATATATTGTTCAACATGATTCTTTTCCACTAATGTTTTGCTACAATCCATAATTCCCCATGAAAATGTGTCATGCCAAAAATTGATTGCTGGTCGCTTGGGATTCCTTTGTTTTCATGATGACTGCATTTTCTATGAAAAAGTCTTAGTTCAGTAGAAACAATCTGATGTGTTGGTGCCTAGCTTAGTTTTCAATTTTAAGAATGTCTACCTCGATCCATGGCTTGATTGTGGAGCTGAATGCCTTTTATCTTGATGTATTCAACCATGGTATATATATTCTTGAATTTGAAGGCTAGCTAGTGATGTTAAGGCTATTAAGAAGAGGCATTGTAACGAAAATTTCAATACCTTAAACCATTATGAGAATGTAAATCTTCATGTAATTCTTGACACTGTCTATTCCTCACACATGCTTCATTGTGTAATATTACCCAACTTGAAATTTACGTTCTTTGCTTTCCTGTTCTATGATGTTGTACTAAATGATCTGTTCATCTGCTAATTTTCTAGCTGATGGAAATGTTGATCAATAAAATTGGAGACCATATTCAAAAAACTAAAGAAGAATTATATTCCACGCAGCAATGGCAAACAAATCTTATGGTCTTGGCTTTTCTATTCATGCCGCTTAGATTGAAGCAGAGAATTAGAGAATATTCTTGCAAGATTGAGAGACCTATATGCTCTTAATTTTCCATGGTTATTTCAGATTAGTTAAGTTCACCGTTAGCTCTTCAACATGAGAGGAAGAACTATAAGACTCATCGTTTTCACATCAGACAGGTGCTCACGGTTTCTTTTATTGTACTCTTGCTCAATGAGGTTCTGTAAGAACCTTCCTTTCTTGAAAATGAACTTTTTCTCTGTTCGGTTTTTCCCCCTAGAGGTTTGACTTTCTGGATAATGTTTTTTTTTTAGTTTGAAGGATGTGATAGTAAATATGAAAAGCCATAGTCTTTTTTCAGTTCATTTGCTAGATAATTGAAATATATGAGTCTATGATACTGATCTTCTTACTATTATCAATATATGATAGTATATGGTGCTCTGTGAAATTAGTTTAAGATATGGAATCTTGTTTATATGCAAAGAAGTTTGCTGAATGAGGATCATAACGGGACTAATGGTACTATGCTTAAATGAATTGGGAATAAACACAATTGTCCAACACATTGAAATTTCACTTTCCGTTGTGCTTGAGAATTGAATCATGATCAATCACCCTATAAAAGTTTCGGAATATTTTGCTTTCTATTTATTTGTCCTATGAAGGAAGATGTTATATGGCACTTCTCAAGAATTTTGAATATCAATCAAGTGAATGATCAATTGCCTTCAAAAGTTTCTCTTCATTTAGTCCTCACTAGTTTATTTCTTCAGCAGTTGACAAGTGTTCTAATTTATTTAACTGAGATTAAACACTTAAAACTCCCTTTGTCCTGCATATACGACTCTGTATCATCTGTTCACTTTTAACTATTTTTAATTTGTAGTTGGATTTGAATCTGAAGTAAAGCTTTCAACCTTGTCAATCAACGTTGCAACAAGTGAATTACTGGCAAAGACTAATGGCATTGAAATTTATGAATTAGTTGCTCGTAATCAAAGGTACTATAGTCCTTTTATCTCCTTCTGTGACTTTGTTTCTTTAAGATTGATAAATTTTCAAGAATATTGCAAAGAGAAACGGATTCATTCATTTTCATCATGTTTACATCTGTTGCTATAATCTCAGTTGAGTGGTGAAAATTGGATACTTTGGTGCCTAATATGCTTGGTTTTCAATTCTAATAATTAAGTTCACCACCAACCATGTCTTTTATTCTAGAGGGTGTGTAGTTTTCTTTTCCTTTCTTTTTTGTTTGGATAGAGGAGGGTGTGTAGCTTTTATCTTGATGTCTTTTGGAGAATAAATGATCTTGTTGAGGTCCCAGAATAAGTGAAGTAGCCAATGTTTCAACTTTTAACCATTTTATACTTTTCTGAATATGCAGGCAACCCAGAAATGCTGTCAAAGCTGTTAAAAAGAAAAAGCTTTGTAGCAAATCCCATTAATTATCTTCATTCAGTCATGGTGAGTATGCTATTGTTCATGTAATTCTTGACTTTGTCTATCCCTCAAGCAAGAAGCTTCATTATGTAATTTTAGGAAACTGAATTTACAATCCTTGCTTTTCAGTTGTATGGTGTTGTGCTGAATGATCTGTTCATTCACTGATTTTCTAGACGTTGGAAATGTTGACAAATAATATAGGAGAAGATCATGTTCAAAGTCAAAGAAGAATCATGCTCCATCCTGCAATTGCCAATAGATTTAGTGGCCCTACCTTTGTTGTTGATGCTACTTGTACTGAAGCAGAGAAGTTAAACATTGTGCCTTTATAATGTAGGGAGCTTGTAAATTGTTGATGCTATTTCTTGTATAACAATTACTTTAAGTACTTGAAATTAGTTATGTTGCTTCAGTACTAGCTGGAACTAAGAGAGCTGTGGGTGAAGCTCGTTCTAAAGCTTTTGAAGAATTTTATAAGAACCTTGAGACGAAGGAAGGAGAGCAAAATATTTATAAGATTGCCAAGAGTAGGGAAAGAAAATCAAGAGATCTAGAACAGGTAAGGTGTATTAAGGATGAAGAGGGGAGAATTTTAGTTACAGATGATGAAATTAAAAATAGATGGGAGACTTACTTTTCTAAACTTTTCAATGATGGAGAGGATTCATCTAGTAACTTGGAGAATTTAGTAACTGGTGAAGGAGAACAAAATTTATCATTCTATCGAATAATACGTGATAAGGAGGTAAAGAAAGCTCTTAAGAAAATGGCAAATGATAGAGTCAACGGACCTGATTGTATATCTATCGAAGCGTGGAAATGTTTAGGTAAAGAAGGGGTGAGATGGTTAACTAAGTTATTTAATGTGATTTTACGGTCCAAGAAAATGCCTGATGAGTGGAGGAGAAGTACATTAATTCCTGTTTATAAAAATAAAGGAGATATTCAGAATTGTATTAACTATAGAGGAATTAAACTCATGAGCCACACAATGAAATTGTGGGAGAAAGTAATTGAGCACAGGTTAAGATTGGAGACAAGTATTTCTGAGAATCAATTTGGTTTTATGCCAGGTAGATCAACTATAGAGGCGATTTATCTACTAAGGGGATTAATGGAAAAGTATCGTTGTAAAGATAAAGATCTACATATGGTTTTTATTAATTTGGAAAAAGCTTATGACCGTATACCAAGAGAAGTGCTTTGGAAAGCGTTGGAAAAAAAGGGAGTACGGATTGCTTATATTAAAGCCATACAAGATATGTATGAGGGGGTAAAAATTAGTATAAGAACACCTAGTGGTCAAACAAAGGATTTTCCTATAAAGATTGGACTACATCAGGGATCATCTCTGAGTTCTTATTTGTTCAACTTGATTTTTAATGTTTTGACGGAACATATTCAAGAGGAAATCCCGAAATGTATGCTCTTCGCGGATGATATAGTTCTTATAGCAGAGACAAGAGAAGAGGTTAATTGTAAACTTGAGTTATGGAGTAGGACATTGGAGTTGAAAGGTTTTCGTCTGAGTAGAAGTAAGACGGAATATTTATATTATAAATTTGGTAAAGGAATATTCAATAATAATTTGGAAGTGAAATTGGGAGATCAAATTATACCTCAAGTGGAAAAGTTTAGATATTTGGGAGCCATTATTCAAAATGATGGCGAAATCAGTGGAGATATTTTATATAGAATTCAAGCTGGGTGATTTAATTGGAGAAAAACTAAAGGAGTTATTTGCGACCGTAAGGTGCCTAATAAACTTAAAGGAAAGTTTTATCGCACTGCTATCAGACCGGCAATGTTATATAGTAGTGAATGCTGGGCTCTAACGGGACAGCAAGAGCATAAAGTTGGAGTAGCAGAGATGAGAATGTTACGATGGATGTGCGGACATACACGTAAAGATAAAATTCGAAATGAGCACGTACGCGAAAAAGTGAGGGTGGCACCTATTGAGGAAAAAATGATAGAAAATCGGTTGAGATAGTTTGAGCATGTACAAAGAAGACTAAGGGAGGCACCAGTGAGAAGAGTGGAACATATAACTTTGAGTCTGATTAAGAGAGGTAGAGGAAGGCCTAAGAGAACACTCTTGGAAGTTGTTGAACGCGATCTCTTAATTAATAATATTCCTAAAAGCTTGATAAATGATAGAGCACAATGACGTCTTGCAATCCATGTAGCCGACCCCACCTAGTGGGATAAAGGTTTGTTGTTGTTGTTATTGCTTCAGTACTAGCTGGGGCCACAGAAACCTATTGAAGGGGTCCATTGGAGATTATGATAATGTTTGTTTGTATATTGGTCATTAAGAGATTAGAACTTTCATATGGTAACCAAATTCTATGTTTTTTTTAAATGGAGTTTTTGGTTATTCTCAAAATTATTTTTTTTTTTTATAGAATATAGAATCCAGGGTTTGTGTTGTGGTTGCTACAACTAAGGAAATTGTTGGTTTTGAACAACCATTACATATGAATCTGATTTATCATGTGCTGATACAACTAATTTTGGTTGTGATGCCTCATAAATCTAATATTTTATTGCATTTATGTTACATTTTCCTTGAATCAGGTCTTATGAGCTATGCACGGCACTGTCTCTCCTCTTCCAACTTATTATTCATCTATACCTTAATTTACTTATCATGTGAGACTTATGGAAGGAGTTTAACTGACCAAAAGTAGAAAGGCAATTACATTCTCTCTTAGCATTGTAAAAATGGAATCTTAAAAAATATGGTAATGTGATTAAGGAAAAACCAGCAAGATTCCTTCTGAATCTGATATTGCAAAAAGTCAATGTATTCATAACAATACTAATACAAAGATACTAAGTATTCACACAAGGCATCAGTTAATAGAAATCATAATTAGTATAATATTGCAAAAGATGGCTCTAATAGCTCTATTTAGGTTGGGCAAGATTTAAATGCTTAACCTTATATATATAATTGCACAACATTTATATATATATATATATATGTATATATATATATATATATGTATATATGTATATATATATATATGTATATATGTATATATATCTAACTAAATCAAAATAAGTGAATTTTTTAATATATACATAGTAATAATAATAAGAGTTAAATAATTGCGTAACATCACACTACTCATGATGACTACTCAACATAGTAAATTTCAAAATTTAGAAAAATTAGTTAATTTTTACTTTTAATTCTTTTTCAGCATGAAAAAATTAATTTTATTAAAAAAATTTGTTAGAATTTTTGTTAAATTTAAGTACTTGAATAGGAGTTAGAGTGCTGGTAACATGAGTCTGCATAGTGACGGACCCAGAAAATTGTCATTGGGGGCAAAATTTATATAAGATAAATATTAATATTTTGAAATATATTTTAATTATTTATTAAATTAATAAAAAAAATAAAATCATGAAATTAAATGCATAAGAAGCAATAAAATAGCTACAAAATTATAATAGCTTAAAAAATAAAATCATCTTAATACAAGCAAACAATATATTGTAAATGATAAAATAATTAATAGTATCTCTGTCTCAAATTATAATATACTTTTAGGGGAGATTCAATGTCTTAAAATATAAAACACTACATTTTTTAAGGAGATTTGGTATCCTAAAATATAAAACATTTGATAAAAATAAAGTTTCATCAATGATACTTTTTTAATATTAACCTTCCCATTATATTTTTCTGCAATATTCTTTCGCAAATGGAGTATTAAATAAAGAAAAAATGATAATAAAATACCTTTGAAATATATAAATGATAATTTGTCCCTCAAAATGTCATAATTTTCCTAAAGTCATTAGGAACTTTTCTGTCATTAAGAAATTTATATAAATTATTAAATTGCCCTTATTAAAAATAAATGATTCACAACTTTCCTTCTTATATTCACAATAATGCAACAGCAAACAAAGAATTAAACATTCAAAGTTATAATTTGTTGTTACATTTTGTGAATTAAGAAAGAAAGTTACAAATATAAAAAATAAAATTATAAATTATTTATTTTTAACAAGTGTAATTAGTAATTTATATAAATTCATTAATAATAGAACAGTTCCTAGGAACTTCAGGAAAATTATGACATTTTAAAAAATTAAATTATCATTTATATATTTTAAAGGGATTTTGTTGTCATTTTCCCTTAAATAAATGACATTTTTAAAAGTTTTACATTTTTTTTTGAAAAAATAAGTTTATAAAATTATTTAATGACCTTTATTGATATATGTGATTTTCTCAAAGTGTCTTTTAAATTAGGATAAATAGAATAGCTATTAATATCATACTTTGATTCTCTTTCTCGATAAAAAAATCATACTCTTTTTGAATAAATATTTTCAATATAAAGAATTAAAGATAGTTCTTCAACTTTACTCCTTATACTAATAAAAAAGTGTTACTTTAAGTATGAATGAGTAAAAATTAAAAATTAAAAAAAAATCTGACCTTAATAACCCTTAAAAAACAAAGATTAATATTTTATTTTGATAAGTAGAAAAATATTGTATAATATTTAGTATATTGTTATATTTATATAATATGAACCAACATTTTTATTAGTTGCTAAAATTGATATCTCTACATACTATAAAATTAGCAATACAAGTAGCATTAGCTTCCTTGATTGGATCAGTTTTCATGCACAAAAACTAAAAATTTTTTAACAAAAAAAACTGAAGTGTTCAGAGCAAAAAATTTTTGGGAGGGGAAGCAAATGACAATTTTATGGAGGGCACAAATGAAATTTTCCCTTCATGATTTCATTGGATTTAGTGGGGGCAGTTGCCCCATGAAGCTACACATAGATCCATCCCTAAGGCTACAGGTTGTGGGTTGTGCAGTGTGAGTTAGCATAACTTGTATCTTGATGAATTGTATTTTTATCCATCCCACAACCTATAACACCGCTAACTCGTCAGTTAAACACACATACACACACACATTACATTTTTTTTCAATTTTAAAAATTACAAATTAACCTCTTTTCAATATATTTTTATTGTAAAAAAACTCATATTTTCTTCCTGAAAACTAATTATTCAAATACCAATAAAACTCATCCTAAATCATTAAAAAAACACATTACAAATTTAAGATACATAATTTTAAATTTCCTCCCCCCTTCAATTGTCTATCCATATTTTCTCTCTCTCTCTAATCTCTCTCCTCAGTTGTCTATCTTGATCTCCGCCATACTTCATTTCTTATAGTTGTGAAACTTAAATTTCTTTTGGTAATCAGCTCCAAGCATGGATTTGATGATTGAAAACTCGGACCTAGAGCTTAATGGAGCGGCTTAGTTTGATGCTTAATTTCAATTTCTTCCCTCTCTAATTTATGGTTTTATTTATGCTCTTTCATTTCTACTAATTAATTCCAGTGATAATTAATTATGTTGGAAAATTAATCACCTTTTACTTGATTGATCTAATAATACACATAGCAAGCTAGCTCTTGTGATATTGATTAATTACATATAGCTTTGGGCCGGGATTGAACTGAGGAGTTGGCTAGTATGACCATTATACTCTTTTAGTGCTTTTCAGTAGGTTAGACACTCTAGTGATGTGCTTGACTCATGAAGAAAAATATGAATGAGAGAAAATGAGAGGAGAGTCATTGTGCTTTGCTAAGTAATAACCTTATTATTTATACGGACAATAATTATAAAAATATTTAAATAATAAAATTTAATCTTTTAACATATTATATATATAATAACTTCTACCATATATTATTGACTGAACAAAAAACATAATTAAAAATTATTTTATCCAATACTGATAAAAAATATTTTATTTAATTTAAAATTCTATTTATTAAATTATTAAATATATAATAATCTTAAAATTTAAAACTACAACTAAATACAAAATACTTAACTTAAAATTAACCTCAAAATTTAGAATTATAATTTATTTAATTAATCTAAAAATTAAATATATTGCTTGTTTCATAAAATTTTATGATCAAAATATAACTACACTACAAATATTATGATAAAAATGAAAGGAAGCAAGAGGCAGCAATGCAAAAATTGTTGGGTAAATTTGAAAATAAAATTCTCTCTCCAAAATCTTCTCATATTTGGAGAAAAAAAGTGGGAGAAAAATAATATGTGGAGCTCACATGTTATTTTTCTTTCACTTTTCACTCCCCTTCACTTTTTTCTCCATAGTCAAGCAGGAAAAAGTGTTGTTCCCCCCCTGCTTTTTCCTCCCATTTTCTCTCCCCTTTACTTTATTTCCTACCAAGCATAGCACTAGGTGATTGGTTATAAAAAGGGAGAATGACAGTTAAATCCAAAAAAAAAAAAATTTATGATAGTTAATTCTATTGCAAATTTAAAATTTTCAATTGGAAATACAATATTTAAATTCTAAATATAACAATTAATTTGCAACTTGAATTCCTATTTATAATTGTATGAATTGATATTTATAGTTATTTTATAGAAATTTTGTTTAAATAATCCTTTTGAGACTTTATTGTCATTCTCACTTAGAGAAATTTTCTGTCATAATCCACTGGTCCACTGCATTTCAAGCTCTGTCCAGATTGTTAGATATAATGTTAAAATTGAATTATTATCATATATTTAGGGTTATAATGCCTACCAGCTATATTTTAATTTGTTCAATTATTCGCACAGCTGTGGAGCATGGTCTAATAATTTTAATAACTATTTTCATATATGCATGAAAAATCTTAATTATTATCATGTATATGCTGTGCTTGTTGTATATAACACTATAAAATCCTTCATATATGTGAGGTTGTCAAGCATATTTTCTTACATGTATTATACTTTGTAAGCCTCTCTTCTTTTAATGCATGATGCATGGTTACTAGGTTGTATACTTGTGTTATTAAAATTAGGGGGAAACATATAATAAATATGAATCAAATAACATTAGTTAATTATATTGGACAAGTTGATGTTGACAAAGAGTAAAGCTGATTGCTAATGTGAATGAGGAGGAGATGATGAGGGTTTTGTGTAGAGTCATATTTTTTTTAATAAAAAATAAGAGGACACCATGGGTTAGCCTGTTGTAGGTTCAAACTATATGGTGCGAGTCAAAACCCGACCCACATATAAATGAACTCATTTTTGCCAACCCACTCCTCCACGATTTGCCGAGTTAGCACCAACTCTAACAAGAGTGTAACATTTTGAATGGGGGAATCATCATCCATATATCTTAAATAAATAGATTTCATTCAAGCTACATATTGAATACAAGCTTCCATAAGATCTATGAGTAGAAAAAGACCCAAGATATTAGAAGAAATGAAAAAAGAGACTTCACTAAAAGAGAAAAATTTATTTTAAACTCAAAATACAAAATACACCAAACTACTAACTTTTTACTTCTCTCATTTACCCCACTTTTCTTCTTTTTGTTTTCCTTTTTCTTCTCTATTACTCCTTGCTCCCCCTCTCAAAAAATCTTCTCTCTTTGCCAACTATAAATAAATAATAAAAAAAAATGCAACTTGAAGAGCAAGATAAACGAAACTTTCAAGTAAGAAGAGTGTCTTGTTGAGTAAGCACTTTTTTCATCTATAAATAGGACACTTAGATAAGTTATTTGCATAAAGAAAGTGGAAGCAAGAAAGCCTAGTGTGGTGAAAAGAAGAGAGACGGTGAGGAAAGAAGATGTCCTCAGGGAGTGAGCGAGTAAGAAGAGGAAGAGAGGAAAGAGAATGAGAAAAAAGAAGAAAAGTGGCATGAGGAGGGATAAAGAGTAAATAGTCAGTATTTTGAAATATTTTGTAATTTGAGTTTGAAATAATTTTTTTCTTCATTAAAGTTCCTCTTCTCATTTCTTTTGGTATCTTGGGTCTTTTTGGCATATAGATCCTAAGTAGTATTAAAGCTTTGGTTCTGAATATACTCTATGGTTGCAATTTAGTCTAGTTTACCACATTAGAAAAGAATATAAGTACTGAAACTATTCTAGGTTTTGTTGTATGACATCATTTTACAAACTATTAACTTTTTATTGATAACAGAAAGAGAACATTTTATTTCAAACTTAAATTACAAAATACATCAAATTAATTACTTTTTACTCTCTCTCCCCCCTTGTGCCACTTTTCTCCTTCTTCTTTTCCTCGTTTCTCTTCCCTCTCTCCTGCTCCTTGCTCACTTCCTCACAACTATGGTTTGTAAAATCAAATTGGACCAAACCGGCTAGCTTGGTGAACCATTCATATGTCTAGTTTGGTTTTGTGATTTCATTGGAAGCCAATTGACTTGGGTTAACCTAAGTGACTTGGGTTTAACCCGTTCAACCGCATGAGTTATCAGGTAGTCGGACAAATTTTTTTAGCTCTTGAAAAAAATAAAAAAAATGCCCTAAATGATTGACTCAACTAAATTAGAAGCTCAGATTAGCGACCTTCTTCACTTCTTTGCCTTGCTTTTAGATTCATGTTGCCTTCTCGGCTCTCGCCGTCACCGTTGAGTCTCTTGCTCTTCCTCCCCCTCATTAGTGGCAATGTTGCTCATATGCGATTCCCTTCTCTTCTCAGCATTCTTAGCCATTGACCCAAAACCCATATTGAGTGCTGAATGCATTTAAAATGAAGGTTAGGAGACATTGAGATGTGAAGACAGAGGATGAAAGAGGGAAAATAGCATCTGAATGAGAGGGAGTGAGGTGAAAAAACAGAAAAGGAAATGGTATGTGAAGGAGAGGAAATGGTGTTTGAAAAGTGAATGATAAAGAGAAGAAAAGGAGGGAGAGTAATTGCCAGTTGGGTAAAAGGAGAAAGTAAAAAGCATAGGTGTGTCATTGCTCTTTATTTGATTTTGGCTACTCTATTTTTATTTACTTGAACACAGTGCCTTGATTAGATTAAGAAATATTCATATTATATTATATATTATATATTATTATTATTGTATAGTACAATAGTTCTAAAAACATTGATTGTATGTTGTATAATATATTAGTATGTTTTTATTATTGAATTGGTATGTTGTATAATCTTGAATTTGGAAGATCATTTTAAGATTAATGTGTTTTTATTTAAATTTATTATTTTATTTTGATCGATTTGACTCCAGTTTGATTCCAATTTAATCTCAATTAAACTCTTGACTCTTGACCTTTGATTTGAATTGGTTCAATGACTAGTTCAATTTTTAATACCTTACTTACATCACTATCTCTCTTCACCACCCCTCTCCTTTTCATCATACTTCGCTTTCTTACTTTGACTTTCCTTACACAAATGACTTATCCAAATGTTTTATAGATAGACAAGTTTTCTTTATCTTGCTTTCAAAGTTGAACTTTTATTTTTATGATTTATTTATTTTAAGCCTAAAATTAGTGATGACTTTATCATCTCATCTCACAAATCATTATTCATTAAGTTATTTAGCTTAAATGGCTCGGTGAACCGTATAGACTCCATCCTGAATTTCGTATTACTTTTTGATTTTCTTTTTTACCCCATTTTTTAAGTTTCAAAATTTATAATACAAATATTCTTATTTTCATTTCTATGCCTTTTATTTGTTTTGAACTTCAAATTTTAAAATAGAAAATACATAGTAAAAAGTAGATGACATATCTTTTCTCTGTTGCTTTTCACCTTTTCCTCTTTCACCTCTCCAATACATTGTAAGTTTTCTCTCATGTAATGCCTGCTCCATATTAATTGGTATTGATTCTAGTAGAAAAGGTTATAATTCTTTACATGTGCTTGAGTTTAAGTTCATATGAACAAGGAAAACATGTTTGAGAGAGTTAGCTTGAGCTTTACAATGCTTGAATTTGACCTAATTAAATAACATATAAAAAATATGCTTGTTGTATCAAAGGTTTCTCTCTTTTACCATTATGGTGAGTGTGATTTGTTGTGAGATTTTAATTATTGTCAATGCACCATATTTAACTAGTTTTAAGTGTGAATCAATACCAGTTATTGAAATGGGAAGATGGCAAATGTAGGAAGAGGGAAGCAATGGGATGAGAGTCTGGAGGTACTAGGGGCAATTGCCCTCACAAGCTAAGATAAAATTATGCAAATTGACTCTAAAAAGTTTTAGTTGCCCCTTCAAAAAATTTCAATTGCTCCCATCATTTTAAAAAATTCATTTGTCTTCTTAAAAATTTTACTTATTTTATTAAAAATTTGATAACTTTAAATCTTATCTATATGCTGTGCCTTAAGTAGAAATAGTTTTACAATAGAAGAGTAATAATTTAATAAAATATTTTGTTTACAAAAATTTTATCACAAATTAATTCTCTTTCATACAAAATAGGTATATAGATTTAATTTAATAAAAATAAAAACATGAAACTAATAGAAATAAAAAAAATTATATAAAGATAATTTTTATTATAATTTTATAATTTATGCATTGTTTTTAATATTTAATTTTATTAAATTATACCTTTAATATAATTTTATAAATAATTAAATTTATATTTTTAATAAAATATTAATATTTATTTTAAGATAAAATACGCCCCATCAACTTATTTTTCCGGGCCCATCATCACTGATGGGAGTGAAGAGTTACGGAATGAGATTTAACATGCCAATATTAAATTCTCTCGATTAAATTAATAAAATAGTCTATGTAAATTTAATTTGTAATCTTATATTATTTGAATCGGTGAATGACTTTAAATATTTAGGTCAATCTTGTAAATTTAAAATTAATTTATTTAATTGTTTTTTGGAAGATGATAATGGTCATATCAACCTATCAATATCCTATTCTCCCCACGAAATCAATTAATTTCTTTTGACTTCACGGGACTCTCATTATAATAAACAACACTTTAAAGATAACGAAGCTGTCATCTCAGTTCTCAGTCTCACAGTGTACTCCCCCCCCCCCCCCCCGGGGTCTCCTCTGATTACGTACCGGAAGCCATGGCTGCTGAGCTTGTGGGTGGAGCATTTCTCTCTGCCGCTGTTCAAGTTGCTTTTCAAAGGCTGGCGTCTTCTGACATCACAAACTATTTTCAATCAAGAAAGCTCAAGGATAGCTTGTTCAGCAAAATTGAAATCACTCTCATTTCATTGAATCAAGTGCTTGATGATGCAGAAGCAAGGCAATACACAAAGCCCAATATCAAGAAGTGGCTTCATGAGCTCAAACATGTTGTGTATGTGGCCGATGAACTCTTAGATGAGATTGCTACTGAGGCAACCAGGTTGAAGTTCGAAGCTGAGAATGAAACTGCTACCAGTAAGGTACGAGGCTTCTTTACTACTTTTGTTAATCCATTTGACAAACATATTGAGTCTAGGGTTCAACAAGTACTTGACGATTTGGAGTTTCTTGCAAAACAAAAGGATGTTCTGGGATTGAAGGAAGGTTCCTGTGGTGGTAGTGAAGTTCGAATTAGGAAAGTCTTCAACAGATTGCCAACTACATCTTTGGTGGCTGATGAGTCCGGCATATATGGTAGAGATGGTGATAAAGAAAAAATGATTGAGCTTTTGCTTAATGATGATTTGAGTAGGAACCAAGTTTCTGTGATTTCTATAGTGGGTGTGGGTGGTTTAGGTAAGACTACCCTTGCTCAATTAGTGTACAGCAACAATAGGGTGGAGAATCAGTTTCAACTCAAAGCTTGGGTGTGTATTTCAGAAGAATTTGATGTTGTTAGAATTACTCAAACAATTCTTTCTGCACTTGGATGCTTAGTAACTGCATATGAAGACCTTAATCAGCTTCAGTTGAAATTGAAAGAGAAATTGGTGGGGAAGAAATTTTTGCTGGTGCTTGATGATGTTTGGAATGAGCGCCAATCTGATTGGAAGCCTTTCAAGTTCCTTTTTTCTATGGGACATTAGGAAGTAAGATCATTGTTACAACACGTAGTGAAAAAGTAGCATCAGTTGTGTGCTCTAGTAGAGTGTACCGCATGACTTTATTAAATGAAGAAGATGGTTGGAAGTTATTTGCAGAATATGCATTCAGAAATAAGGATGATAGCATGTGGACAAATCTTGAGTCAATAGGTAAAAAAATTGTTGAAAAGTGCAAAGGATTGCCTTTAGCTATAAAAACATTGGGTGGCCTCTTGCATACAAAATCATCAGAGAAACAATGGAATGACATTCTTAATAGTGAAATATGGCAATTGCTAGATGATGAGAGTGATGTAATACCAGCTTTGAGATTAAGCTATCATTACCTTCCTTCTAATTTGAAGCAGTGTTTTGCATTTTGTTCTATATTTCCTAAAGACCACAAAATTGAGAAGGATTCTCTAATCCAAATGTGGATGGCAGAAGATTTGTTGCATTGCAATCAAGGAAATAAAAATGTGGAAGAAATGGGAAGTCAAATCCTGGTTGAACTAGAATTGAGGTCGTTTCTCCAAAAGTCAAAAATTCATAATAGGTATGTCATGCATGATCTCATCAATGATCTTGCAAAATCAATATCTGAAGAATTTTGTTTAAGGATTGAGGATGGTAAAGTGAAAAATATTCATAAAAGGATTCGCTACCTCTCATACTCAGCTTTACTTGATAGCAATGAAATGTTGCTGGAGCCTTTTTATGAGTGTAAGCAATTACGATGTTTTGTGTCTTTTAAACGAGCAGCATTCTCCTTTAAAGAGGGAATGGATGAGGGTGAAATATTATCAAAATTTAAGTACTTGAGAATTTTGAGCTTGAAAAGTTTTGAAAATATTACTAAATCAGGTGTTGGTATGAACAATTCAAAGCACCTCCGTTATTTAGACCTTTCTGACACCAGAATTGAAAAATTACCATGTTCAATTTGCAAACTGTATAATTTGCAAACTTTGAAATTGTGTGGCTGCACTCAAGTTGTTGAGTTACCTCCAGATTTGCACAAATTGGTGGACCTGCATTATCTTGACCTTTCTAAAACTAAGATCAGCAAGTTACCTGATTCGCTTTTTAAACTGCATAATTTACAAACATTGAAACTGCAGGCATGTCAATATTTGGTTGAATTGCCACCTGGTTTACAGAATCTCATTAATCTCCATCATCTTGATATAAGTTGGACTAGCATAAGGGAGATGCCAAACAACATGGGAAGGTTAAAACATCTTCAAATATTGACTAGCTTTTATGTGGGAAAGCACGGTGGGTCTAATTTGAAGGAGTTAGGGAAACTCAATTATCTTCAAGGCAGTCTTGAGATCTCTAAATTGGAAAATATTAATGACATTATAGATGCTAGGGAAGCCCATATCAATGATAAGAAGTACTTATATAAATTGGATCTGCAATGGAGTGGAAACAATGAGGATTCACAGAGAGAAAGGTTCACCTTGGAAGGTCTTCAACCTCATGTCAACTTGAAAGAGCTTGCTATTAGAAACTTTGGTGGTACAAGATTTGCAGACTGGTTTGATGCTCCTTATTTGCCCAATTTAGTATCTCTTGTGTTGCGAGCATGTAAATATTGTTTTTGTTTACCACCACTTGGGCAACTACCTTCTCTCAAGTCAGTTCATATTTCTAAATTAGAGGGATTGAAGAAGATTGGGCTAGAGTTCTATGGGAATAATAATTTGTCATGTGTTCCTTTCCCATCCCTTGAATATTTGTTTATTGCTGGAATGTTAGAATTGAAAGAATGGATTCATTTTGATGGTGCATGTTTCCCCTGCCTCAAAGAGATTGTTATAAGATATTGTCCCTGGTTAAGAAAGTCACTTCCTCCCCACATGCCATGTTTAGAAAAGCTAGAGATTGAACAATGTGGAAATTTGGAACTTGAATCATTCCCTACCAAGGCATTCTCTACTCCTAAACTTGAATCTATCCATCTTGCTGGGTTGACCCATTTGAAGTCACTACATGAAGACATGCATACACTCCTTCCCTGTGTTCATTCTCTATCACTATTTCACTGCCCACAGCTGCTGTCAGTTCCTCAGAAAGGGTTGCCTTTGAGCCTTGTCCAAGTTTCAATCCATGATTGTCCTAAACTTTTTGCTTCTCGTATGAGCTGGGGCTTGCATAGACTTCATTCTCTGCATGAGTTCTCTATTGGTGAAAATTTTGAAACTGTGGAGTCTTTCCCAGAAGAGGGCTTGCTGCCATCCAATCTCAAAGTTATTCGATTTGAAGGATTTTCAAATTTGATCAGAATAAATAGCAGTGGCCTTCTTCCCCTCACATCTCTTCAAGGATTAAGAATCTATAACTGCCCAAATCTCCTATGCTTGCCAGAGGAAGGTTTATCAAGGTCCATTTCCTATTTAGTTATTGATGGGAATTGTCCATTTTTGACACAACGGTACCAAAAGAATGGACAAGAGTGGCACAAAATTTCTCACATTCCTTGGGTATGCATTAGCTAATACTCCGCTCCAAGAGTTTTGTTAGCTTCTAAAGCCTATATAGGTACTTCTTTTACCTTATACTAACATGTTTGCTTTATTATTAAGTTTTCCCTTTTTCATGCAAGGGCATCATATTTATTACAACAACATATGCACCTCAATCCTGAGTTTCAATCTATGGTAAGCAAATTAGTGATGATCTTATCCTCTCCTAAAATCTTGTCCACAGAACCACATGCTCGAAGCTTCCACTATCCAACCTGCATCTTCTCTCTAAGCCCTCTGCAATTTCATGTGATGATAATCCTAGTTTTTGTCTTCATTTTCCTTAGCATCTGATGGTGCTTCCAAAAGGAAGTTGTCAAAAGTACAAATGAACATTATTGCTTTTAGTTTGATGATTATCTTTGATAGATACTTCAGTTTGGTTCTTCTTCGGCTCTTCAACAAGGGCAAGAAAGGAGGACCCATCATTTTCCATCAAAGGGGTGCAGTTGTTCTTTTGTGCTCTTGCTTATTGTTGTTTTCTAAGGATTCACCATCTAGTCATGGGTTCTCTACGATAGGATCATTGAATCTTGGCACATCTTCAAATAAGAAAACACCAACAAATAGTATTAATGGAATCGAAGAGGTTGATAAACTGGAACGTATAGATAGACATTTGTCAGAATCTCCTTCATGCAAAAATTCAGTATCCACTCTCCCTTCAAGTAAGCCTCCTAATCCAAGTTCAAAAGAAATCACTCTTCAAAGGCCCACTTATATGTTGAGCTTGGTAATCTTGAGTCTATGTTAGAATGAATTCAGTAAGTTCGTTGGTGTTATTCCCTTCAAAAAAGATATTTATCCTACTTTATGCTGTTTCTATCATGTTTTTCACTAATGATACTTTTTTTCATTCTTTAAAAAAAGAATAAAATTCTTCTCTGCTTGGCTTCTTTTCTGGAGGTTTGATTTTTAAGATAAAATTATATGTAGTTTGAAGAAATTTATAGTAAATGCTAACAAACATGATTTTTCATTTAATTTCATTTGTCAATGAATGAAGGACTTTAAATCCATGATACTGAGATTATGACTATTATAAATATATGATATGATAGGAGATGGTGCTAAATGGATATGGTTTAATATATGGAATATTGTTTATATGGAAAGAAGTTTTGTAAATGAGGATAAAAACTTGAATAATGGTTCTCTGATGAGAAGGATTGTGATAAATCATGAAACACAATTGTCTAACATATTGACATTTCACTTTCTGTCATGCTTGAGAACTTAATCACAATTGGCCTGACGGAGGGGCGGGAATTTTTGCTTATTTTACTCAATGCCTTGTACTGGCTTTTGAAAACTGTTGGAAGTGATGAATTGATTGGCCTTGAAGTTTTTCTGGTTGCAGGAAGTTTATGACCCCATTCTTGTTCATTCATTCTATCTGAGATCAATTTATTTCTGTTGGATGGAGTCATTTTCTTCAATGCCTTTTCACTGGCATCTATAAATGTGTAAAGTGATGAATCAATTGACCTTGAAGTGTTCCTGTTCAAAATCTGGTTGGTCGTATTGCACTTTGGCATTCATTCTATTTGAGGTCTGTTTATTTGCATTGTGAAGGAAGGTGATATTATATGGCACAAACCAAGGATTTTGTGAAATCAATCAAATGATTGATCAATTGTCTTCAAAAGTTTCTCTTCTTTTACCCCAGACTGTCGTTTTAATTTAATATTTATAGTTGACATTAAGCCTCTGAATCTTACTATGTCCTTCATCTGCTTCTATTATATCATCCGTTACCATTTACTTTTCTGTTGTTGAATTGGTATCTGAAATGAAACCACAAAGCTTGTCAATTGATGTTGGAATGAGTGAAAAATTGGCTAAAACTGATTGCACTCAATAGTGAAATTTGTGAATTAGTTGTTCATGGTCAAAGGTCCGATAGTGCTGTATCTCCTTCTGCAGCTTGGTTTCTTCAACGCTTATGAATGTCCTAACCTCAGAACATTATAGAGAGGAACAGATAACCAATATATATGCCTGTGAAGTTGTTCCTAAAAACATTGTACAAAAGCATGAAACTAAACTGATTACATTGTTCTGTATTGTCAGCAAAAGTCTCAGTTCAATGGTGAAAATCCTATCTTTGGTTCCCTACATAGTTTTCAAATCTAATACTCTCCACCACCATCCCTAGCTTGATTCTTGAGCTTGGATGGTTCTTATCTTGACGTCTTCAATTTGGAGCATAGAAGAGCTGGTTGATATGCCAGAATAAGTGAAATAGTACCAATGTTTCAACAACTATTTGATACTTTGTTGAATTTACAGGCAAGCTAGAAATCTTGTTTAAGGTATTACGATTAGGAAATGGTTCTAGTGCATTTCTCTAGAGAAGTGCACCAAATTCAAATCCGTTACAAGTAGACTTTGTAGCAAAAAAAATCCAATATTATATATGCTATGAAGTTATTCCCAGTACCAGTAGTATGATAGTATGAGACTAAGCTAATTACATTTTTCTTTATGAAATTTGACACGTTATTCCCAATACTACAACTAGTCATGCCAAATTTGATTCCTGGGCTTTTGGAATTCTTTTTTTTTTTCATAATTCCTCATGAAAGTCAGATATTTTGGTGCATGACTGTGTTTAATAATGTTCAGCACCGTCCATGGCTTGATTGCATGGTTGGATGAGGACGTTGATGACCTTTATCTGTATTATGCAGGAAAGCTAGAGATGCTTGTTAAAGCTAGTAGCAAAAATCCCTGTACTCATTTTTTCATTCATGGTGAGTATGTAAACCTTCATGCAGTTACTAGGCACTTTGTATTCCTCAAACAAGAAGCTTAATCATGTAATTTTATTGAACTGAAAATTTTCATTCCTGGCTTTTGAGTTCTATGGTGTTGTATTAAATCCATCTCTTAAATCTGCTAATTTTCCAGCTGCTTGGAAATGTTGAAGAGCAATGCTACTATATAGGAGACCATATTCATAGCCAAAGCGGAATTTTGTTCCATCTGCAATGGCCAGCAAATTGTGTTGCTGGCTTTCCTGTCCGTGCTACTTGTACTGATGCTGAGAAATTGGACATTATGATGTTAGAGAACAAGCCTTGGATTAAGAGGCGCACATGAAAAACTCTTGTAATGAGAACTTAATAAATTATTAGTTGTTGTAAGAACTCTGACTTCTATAAAAGTATTGAAATTGATTCTGCTGCTTTAATACCAGTTGGAATATATAATGTTGGTCATTTTGAAATTATAACTGAACACTGGAATTGATTCTCCTATGTGAGGTTAGCTTTATTGTTATTTATTTATTTTGTATGCTTCTTTAAATTTTTTATTTAAAATATTATGTTTTTAGGTGTTTGCCTCTCATTGATAATTAATTAGAAAACTATTATTATTATTATTATTATTATTATTATTATTATTATTATTATTAAAATATATTTTTTACTAAAAATTATTACTTTATCAAATAATTTTTCTTAATACATTTTTATGTGCTGCCCTTGCATCTTTTTTTTTTATTTATAAACAAACATCATTGTTTTTTCTTTCATTATTTGGCATTCAGAATGGATTATTTTATTATTTGTATTCCGATCAGATAATTCAAAATGATTTGTTCATCTTCCTTGAGTTAGCATTTGGATTTAAGACCTCCAAATTAAATTTGAGATTATTTATTATTAATTAAACTAATTGTTTTTGAGTTCTGTAATCATTTAAATGATTTTTTTCCTCATAGTTAGCATTTGGATTTAAGACCTCCAAATTAAATTTGAGATTATTTATTACTAATTAAACTAATTGTTTTTGAGTTCTGTAATCATTTAAATGATTTTTTTCCTCATTCTTTCTTTCACCTCAGAAAAGATTTTTCTTGTCACATCAAATATAATTGTAAATTCAAAAATTTCAGCCGCTCTCTTTATTTTTATCAATTTTTTTATTTCGTGGATCCAACACCAAGTAATCAACTTAAACATAAACTATTGCGTCAGAAAACAACTGAATCTATATCACTGTAAAACATATAATTGTTATGGTCCATCTAAAGTTATATGAACAGTAGTAATTACTTTTAAAAAATATTCTGTGTATTGAAAAATTATGTGGTAACCACAATAAAAAATAAATGAGTGTTGATTGAATTTTATATTTGTATGTATAATATAATAAATTGGAAAACAAAATACGAAGTTAAACAACAAAATAGAATAGAACTTTTTATTATATTGGTTGAATTTTCATTAATGTAGTATGTAGTAACTTAGTTAAAAGAAATCTATCTTTTGCCTTCAATACCTTGACAAAGATTATTTTTGTTGTCTGACAAAATTTACTCCTTACACTTACGCAAAAGAATACATAAAGTAAGAAATTTGTTATCAATATATAAAGGTGAACTACGGCTTTATAATAAAAAAAATATTATTGCAATTATATGCTTCAAAATTAATCATATGCATGAATTTTTTTTCTATTGCACGCATTCTAGGTATCTATTAATTAGTCATTGTTTTTTCTTTTCATTGGCATATCATAATTAACAAATAGTACCATAACATCGATTTTTCTATGTGCTTAATTTAAAATTATTATCTCATAATTAGTTTTACTTTTGCTTATAATTATAATCTATAAATATTATTATCACATAAATTATAGCGCATGATTCATTATATTACATGTTTCATTTTTCTATGCCTTGGCCAACAAATTCTGAAAGAGAATAAAACAAGCTAATTTTATTTTGCAGGATGTGAGAATAAGTTAATTTTTTATAATTCTTAATTTATTGAAGCAAATAGTGAAATATCTAAAATATTTGTTGTGGAGTAAATTTTCTTTTTCAATTAATTATAAAGAGTATAACTTAATAAAAAATTAATTTTTTAGCCTAATCTCAAAGTTTTCCCTCACATTAATTAAGGGAAGATCACAAGTAGTGTTGCCTCTTTGAATCCAATATGAGAGCCACATGTAAAAATCCTACATGTAGTACATAACAATAACGTCTTGAGAATGATTTTCTAATACCTATATACCAAAAAAATTTTAAAAAAAATCTAGTTTTATGCATAAAATTTAAAAGGAACAAATGTCCATTTCTGATTCGGCAATCAATAAACGAGCAAATTATACAATTCTTAGTTGACTGAAGTTACCAAAATATTCGCACGCCTTCGTACATATCAACATCAAACACTGTAAGCTTTGTTATATTCTCAATGTTCCTTTTCTTGATTAGTTATAAATTATAAGACTCTACCACTTGGAGCCATTAATTTGAGTTAATCTAACTAAGTTCCAAAAAAAAATTAGGATTGCACTTGAGTTGAGTTCCCGAATAGATTTTTTTAAAAGAAATATATAAAATATTAATTAAAATTTAAATTATTTTATATTAACAGAGATTTATATTAATTCTTTGATTACAATATTGCAGACATGTTCTTAAAATATAAAATATCTTAAAATATTAATATTTTTATATGTTTACTAATTTTAATTTATAAAATATTTTAAAATAATATTTAAAAATGTATTCTAATCTTGATATTTAAATTCTAAGGTCCACAATTTTTTTTAAAAAAATCAGTCTTCTACATTTTTTTAAGTATTCTAAAAATTATATTTATATTTTTTATAATAACAAAAATAACTAGTTTTAAAATAAAATTTGAAATTTGATGTATAACATGAAAAAAAATTTTCTATTCAAATATTCAAGTTGATCCAAATAAGTTTGAAGCTTGAGAGTGTTATGGTTAGGCTTAATTATATGAAACTTTTTGCCAGACCTGAATTGGATCAATATAATTTTTTTTTATAATCTTTTACTTTAAAAATTAAATCAATATAATTTTAAAGAATTATTTAATTTGATCAAGAATGCCCTATCTCAATCTTTAGACTCATGAATTTTTAAGAGAGATAATTTTTTAACATATTACGGTTCCTAGGTATTAATTTAGCTTTGTTTTCGTTTTCTGTTATATAAAAAAATAGCTTTCTCTCAAATAATCTGTCTTGTTAGTAATTATAAAAAACAACACGTAAGATGTTGTGAGGAAGATATGATTAGAGGCAATCTAGTACTTTTAAAATTATATTTTGATATTTGGTCCTTCTAAATAATAAATAGGGAAAATCATATTTAAGAATCACTCAAACAAATTATTCACAAATGAAGACTAACAGCAATTCTCATTTGATAAAAAATAAGTCACGTTTTCATTTTAATAATAATTTATTCTATATTAATCCTTATTTGTGAATAATTTTTTTAAGTGATCTTTGAATGTGATTCTCCCTAATAACTATATTTAAGATCCTCTCCAATAAATATTAATTTTTCAGGTCCTTTGTTATAATTTCCCTTTTAAATGTAATATGCTATTTAATAAGGACAAATGTAAAAAAAAATATTTTCCTTCAAACAACATCAATTATTCAATTATCTTTTCTTAATTCCAATAAAGCAATCAAAAATAACTTATAGGATAACATTTAGTATTATTGGAAGACAAATTTTAATATCTTACTTTTAAAAGCAATATTTATTAAACATATCATGGTAATCAAATATCTACCATGGTAATTAAGAATACAACTTATTTTTTAGAAATGTTACCATGGTAGAAAGGAGTTTACATTAATATAAAAGAATTAAACATGCTTAAAGCATACTATACAATGTAGAAAAAGATTTACCTTTATTAAATAAAACCATTTTTGAAGCTAACTATCATGGTAAAGAGGATTCTATCATATTAGACAAAATTAAACTTTAGTCAACAGACCTCCCATGGTAAATAGCAGTTGACTAAAATAAAAAGGTCTACCCAATGAGATCTCATTTTCAAAACAAAGTTTGAAATCTAAATATCATAATAAAATATAAACAACAGTAAAAAAAATCAGAGTTTACAGGTGTAAGTTAATCAAAAACATAACATGATTATTTTCAAGATATCTAAATGAATGATTCAAGTGTCCACTTTAAAATATGCAACAAAATCCATTTGCTGGCTTTAGCTTGATTCTCAAACATTTTCATATGGGGAAAAAAACTGCATCCATAAACCCATTTAGGGCCTAAAAAATGGTTCCTAAATAATAAACTTCACAAAACAAACCAATACAAGCATTTAGTATAAACAAATTGCCATAACCTAATTATCCACTTCATCATATACAATTCATATCATCAACAAAACACAAATGTACAATTCACAATTGAGTTATAGTTACCCAATATAATTTATATACTACCCAACATAATTTATATAAAGCTAAACATAGTTAAATTCATGCTCAAAACACACATAAATTCTTGAACATAACAAATTAAGACCATAAGTGTCAGACATAATTCTCATTATTAATACATACAGAATCTATCAAAAACTAGGGTCTACATGCTCAATTACATTCAAAGTTCTCTTAAGTTGGCAGATATATATTCAATCGCAAAATGAGGCATAACAACACAAACCGGTGTTTCATACACCAAGTCTAAGCCTATAGTGTTTCTCCAGTTGGACCCACTCTTGTAAAAATATTAATCATGGAAAATGAAACAAAAAGCTTGCAATAACCAAAACTATATGCAATAATGCATGCCATGCAACTAATTATGTGACCATTAAGTGGGGTATGCAAAACAATTTTCAAAACAATTTAATTCAAACAAATTCCAAACAATTCCAAACATAATTGAACAATAGATGTAAGACTACCACTTTATATCCTCCTTTATCTTGGACTGAACTGCACACCTAATGCCTAACTCATTCAACTAAAGATAAGCTAGTTCAAGTGATAAAGTGTTAGTCATGGATTAGAGGAGAGCATACCATGAGGTATATTTATTTCTAAACAATAAATCTCAGAAATAACCTCCCACAATAGAACAATTCATGCATATATGATTTTTGAGCAAATATGAATTCCAAATAATGATACATTCTTCCAAACATGAAAATTCCATACCAAACATAATTATATATATCAATATTTTTCATCCCACTAGCAATTTATTTTCAAACAATAATTATACATTTCTAAAGTATATAGTTTCTAAACAACACTTAATTTAAATAAAATACACACAACTAATTACCCAACACACATCACAATATAATAGTAAAGGTTACTTTTGCTCCTAACAAGCAAATTTCCCCAAATAAGGAAATTACTGCCACC